GACAGCGACAGCAAGACGACTTCGGCAGTTACGGTGGCAACGATTGGTGACTCAGTGATAACAATGGCAAAGTCAGCGATGACGTTGGAAGAGGTGATAATGAAGAGAGAGTTAAGATAATGTCGAAAACAAGCTGCGACTTGTTGTACTGCGAAGTCGGCGTAGCGACTTGTTGGAAGAAGTAACAATGCGTTATATGTTATAAAAGAAAAGCTACATTAACAACCTTTTACAGGTATCACATTCCTTCTCGACTATTTCATCACTAGTTCCAAGATAAGTAACTTCCCAGTTTTGACCATGCTTACCTTTGAATTGGCAAATCAATAGATTTCTATCACTTTCCCACTCAGCGATCTTTTCGAGATAATCATTTATACTACTAAATAACTTAAAATAAGTATCATGGAAGTTACATCTTCACTGGTTGGTCACAGAAAACTCAAAGAGATATTTCACTGAGATAGATCGGTCACTTATTAGTTTCCCACTATTAAAATCAAAAAGTGTTTTTAAAAATATCGAGTACGATCCCGTATTTTTGATTAATAATGTGAATATCATACATTAGCAAACGTTGTAGAAAATTTAAATTATAGAGTGTGTCAGCGATGTTCTGACGCCAGCGGAGCAGCAATAATTTCTTTCTTAGTTCAGTATGCATTCATGGCACTTCTCTTGGCATCCGTCCTGCTCACCTGGGCATTTCTTTAAATAAATTTTGTGAGAAGCTAAAAAAGAAAACTGGCAAGTTGGAAACCCGACGTACGTCTGGGGCCATTCGTCTTCTTTCTGGCCACTCGACGCGCCAAGTATAACGTCTAATTACATCTACGTCAACCGTTTCCATTTTGTTTCAATATTTTTAAGCGTTCAATATGAATAATTTCCAGACGAAGTGTTCCTCTCGCGTAAAATAAATCCCCTTCACAGTTATTCTGATAGCGATTATGGACTGACGAAATTCACAGAGCTTGACTAACAGTAAAGAAGAGATTGAAGACATAACATCAACCAAACATATGACTTCTGAACCTTCTTTCTTTGTCTCGAGCAACTCACTCATCACCTCCATCATCATCGCAGTCATCACCCTCATCGTCGTTCCATAAAAAATTTTTATCACGGAAACAAATAAAAATCGTAACGCAGGTATATGGAGAGTTGGTATCATATTCTTTTTATTAATAATCTATTAATCAAATGGGAACTCCTGATCCCTCCTTAAAGCCCGCCTATTAAGTCCTGAATAATTCTTCCTATTCCCGTTCAACCCTAACCCAACGCCGTACCTTGTCCGTGCCAATTCTCGGTCCATAAGAAATGCAACAATTCTTTTGAGTACGCTTTTATTGTTCAGAACACTACAAATGTTTAAGTGTCTTCAGAATTTTTTTATGTGCATAGTTCACCATTGCTTCAAATCTAAAGCTTTATGTTTCTATTAGGAAAAAAATACTATAGGTCATCTTGGTCACCGCGTTTGAATTTACACGCTCGAAATAATCATAATGATTCATGCGACTGTGGTTAAGAAGGCTACATAGTTCATACCTGCATTATTCTTTCAGCTTATGGTTTTATCGCTACTCAAGCTGCAGCTAGTTACGATTTTCACAAGCACTTAATAAATTTGTGCACTAGATTTACAATTTAATATTAATTTCTAATTAAAAATTAGAATTTTAACATTATCTAATTAGTAATTTTTTCGCATGTCACAAGTTGTAGAATATTCTATCTTAGCAATCAATATTGCTTGAAACAGCTAATTTCAAAAAATTTTATATCCATGATTAATCATTTTCAAAATAACTTACCAATTTCAATCTGTCATCACTGATTCATAACGGTTTCATACCAGACCATACGAATGAATGTCCTAAAGATTGTTAATAATTGCTCGGTGCTCATTTTGGCATCCTGAATCGCATTAGTTCTAACGTCGGTAGCGAAAATGAGTTGAAATACCTAATTAATTTGTACTTTAGCAGATACATTCACATTCGCAGATACTTGGAGCGTCTATTTTCATTTTGATCATCTCCATGGCGACGATGATCGAGGCCAGGGTGCCAACGGCGGTAACGATAAAAGATGTGGATAGGACGACCAATGCAGCGGCAACAACGGTGACGACGAGAACTGAGGCAGCAGCGGCGTTGTTGATGACGGCAGCAACTACAACGGAGGCGGCGACAAAGCTCGATGCGTCGGCGCAAATTGTTGAGAGCGAGCGTCAAACGGTGTGAAATTATTTGCAAATCATCTATCGTAATACGAAATATAACAAAATTTAAATGAAAAATATGCAAAATAAACTTGGTAATCACTTGGATCAAATAATTTATGACCATAAATAGTCGTTATTCGGATAGCACACCATTGAAATGTTCATCAGCAATGTTGTACGAGCAGAACGGTTTACTTAAGTAATATTGGCCTAAATTTTGTAGAAGCTCGACTGTTCGGCTTAGCGACGAAGGCAACTACCGTGTTAATAGCTTTGTCTACTGCTACCTCCACCAAGACCTGCATAGTGGGTGAGTACCGTTAACAACGCTCTCTAGCCGTCACCTCATTCAAGTCCAGCATTGTTAGTGAGTACCGCCACACCACCAGGACCTGCATTGTCGGTGCGTACTTTCACTAACGCTGTCCACCGCCACACCACCAGGACCTGCATTGTCGGTGCGTACCTTCACTAACGCTGTCCACCGCCACACCACCAGGACCTGCATTGTCGCTGCGTACCTTCACTAACGCTGTCCACCGGCACCTTAACAAAAACATTCATTTCAGGTGGTTTCCGCCATTAGCTTTCATAACCAAAACCTTTTTAAGTCCACATTTTTGTTATATTTGAATATATCATTTGTTAAAAATTATAATGGTTTATAGCTACTTAGTTTCCCAAAGAACAGTTAATGCTCAGCTCATAACACAATTTCTGTTTCAATTATTTCTCGGATTGTACCATTGAACCAAGACTCATGCATGCAGTATTACATCATCAACATTGTATTGCGGGAAGAGATTTGTCTCAGAAAATTATTACTGCACAAATATACCAAAACATCACAGACGATTGAGTGAGGACGAAGGACAAGGGAAGTTTTTTTTGATGAGGTGAATGTTCCAATATTCTTTTCAGACTTGGAATATGAATATTCTTATTGCATATGAACATTCATATTTAGGGACTGGGATTTTTGCATAATTTGAGTGCCGTACATGGACCATAAGCTTCTTGTCATGTGTAGGGAATTGTCAATAAGAAATTCTCTCGAGTTGTTCTTATAGTAATGAATAACTAGCAACCTAGATTTTAACCTTTATGGAAGGTATAACTTTTGAAATATCTGCAAAATTAAAGCAGAATGACTAAATGCCTGCGGTAAACAAGTTAGAGGAAGCCAGTTATTGGAGGTTTTTATTTCCAATTTGGACTGTTGATCCACACAAGGCATAGAAACTGTTAACGACATTTTTTTTTAATGCTAAAACAGACTCTAGTCGCAAATTTTCTCAAGTAAACGCATCCATGAATGTCGTTATACTACTCAGAATTAAAATTTTGCTCATTTCAGTTCAAAAGAGGCTACATTTCAGGGTTTAGAGACCAGTGAATAGTGAGTTAGAGCCTAACAGTCCATTACGGTAATAATTGAATTTTTAAGGGCTACTTTTCTGTAGTGCGAGGTCCCGGTAATTTGTGTAAACGCAAACGCCGTTACTTGGAAATTCAACGAGCTCTGCCGACTGAGGAGAAGTTTACCGGAGACGTCGAGCTCTCCGGCTCCATGATGGACTCAAGTCGTCCGGACGAAAAAATCGCTGACAAGTCCTCCCGCGGGTTTTTGACTTTCTGGAAAGCATCCACTTCAACGTTTGTGCTGACATCCAACGTCACCAGCTTCGTTCGAATAGGGAGATTCATCCAAATCTTCATTGGTTTAGGGTGCAGAGCCACCCTCTGCATACACAACTAAATGCATTATGAAAAAATACATATCTATTGCACTTTAATATGTTACTCGACCCCAAATAATTGAAAGATTCCTTGATGGCTTACTTATATCGCTAAGAGAGAATGAACTTCAAGTGAAGTTCACTCTTTACCGTGCATGATCCATATTAAAGTAAATATATTCATAAAATGATTTCGGTAAGATCCTATTACCATAGCCGAAAATGGTAACACTAAGCCAAATTAGTCATGTAAACACATAACATTTAAATTAATTGCAGAGAAATTTGAAATGAAGTTGACCAAAATATCCTCATTGCCTAATAAAGCACTTTTCAAGCTTCGTCTGTAACATCCAGACGAGTATTTTCTGTCGACGTATATCAAAAGCAATGGATTAAATGTAAATATTCGATTATAAATAACTTCTACATCAAGCTAAGAAATACAACTATAAAAATTGATGCGATTTAACTACTGCTAGTGAAATAGTTTGACAATTAACTGAAAATCGCTTAAATTCCTTGGTGAATTCGAAATATGAACAATTCGTAGCCTAATGCATTGTGGAATATTAAAATTTATAAATGAATAAGCCGAGCTTTTAATTAAGAGATTCATCTATGCATATGGTAAGTTGTTGTTCTCTTCGGGAGAAAATACTTACTCTATCGTATTCAACGCTGTTTCAGTACAATAATGCATCAAACTGAGAGCAAGCTTAGCTAATACACATTGAGTGTGTCTTTCTGAGGCTCCTAAGTTTTTTCAATGTCCATCATATTCATTCATTCTACGTATAACTTCACCGAAATGTAGAGAAGAGCACTCGTCGTGTACCTTATCTCTGACTTTAATCCGAAATTACCCGTAATCGTGTCAGGTTCAAATTTTGTTATTGCGGTGCCACCAGAAAAAAGTGGAAAAGAACGAGAGGAGGCGGGGGGTGGCCAGCGAAGAAGGTGAATTGAAGAGTACCATAGAAGATGAAAAAATAAGGCGCATTGCGCATGATTTGGTTGGACTGCAAGTAGTTCGGACCATGGTAGAGATGGCAATGAAAGCGTCCTTGAGCCTGTGTCAACCCCAGCAACTAGAGAGGCAACCCAGAAAGAGTTGCACGTTGCCAAGAAACTATACAACACTAACAGTAGGATACTAAGTAGACTGGTGAGCACCCATAAAGAAATTTACATGAAAGGATTCAATGCGACAACTGTTCCATTGATCTTTCCATTTCTGATGGCTCCATTTAACAGTGATGTTGAATTCATAGTCGTGTTGGTTAAGGCTCTCCAAGCTTCGGGTGCTATTAGAGTGAAATAATATGTTCCTAATGTGCCTCATGAAATAATAGTGATTCATCCTAATGATCTTATCCTTATAATGATTCATAATGTTCTTGTTCCAGCCGTTGTGCTAAAGGAAAATAATAAGTTCCATATACTTTATTCATGTTCTGTCTCAATTTCTTGAAATGATGATTCCTAATGATTTTGATTCCTAATGATTTTTTTCCTAATAATAATGATTCATAATGTTCTTCCAGCCGTTATTGCGAAGGGAAAGTAATATATATGTTTTTTATACTTGATTCATTTTATGTTCATTCATTCTTGATTCATTTTATGTTCATTCATTCTTTTATGTTCATTCATTCTTGATTCATTTAATGTTCATTCATTCTTTTATGTTCATTCATTCATGATTCATTTAATGTTCATTCATTCTTGATTCATCTTTTAAAGTTTGTAACAGGATTTATTTCGAATAAACTTTTAAAATGTACATGTTTTGTCATTAATCTCCTTAATAAACTGAAGTTTGAGCTTGATTGAATTTTAACTACTGGTTTTTCAAAAAGTTGAATGTAAAATGAACGTAACGATCTGTGGAGGAAAGCTGTTATGGAATTTTATGAACCTCATGGTATTCTTTCCCTCCACAGTACCCTATGAGGTTCGAAACCTGTCATTACAGGTCGAAAGCTGTCAAGATAGGTCTTACTTTTAATGAACCTTGATGAATAACTAAGTCATTTTTGAAGATAGAAGCATGAACTTGGTCTCGTTGGATGCGCCTCAGGCTCCCATTTCGTAAATTGGCAACGGAATTTGGCTACATCCAAAAACGAAAAAGTTATTCAATAAAATGTCGTTTATATGAGTAACTCTAGATTATAGATTTATGCACCAAAATTCTACCAGCATGTCTTTAAATCCTAATAAATAGAATTATGTGCTGAAATACTGAAATTTCGGGTAAAATCACGAAAAACGGATATAAAACTCATAAAATATTGCAAAAGTCGAACACGGTTCCCAGATTCTCAAATGACAACCTTGGACGCATCTTACCAAAATAAAGTAATATTCTGCCTTTTAATGTGACTGAGCTATTCGTACAAGTGTAAAACCTGTAATTACAGGTTTTGAACCTGTCATGACAGGTTTCGAACCTCATGGGGTAATGTGGCGGGAACGATGACCCCCAAGTGCGTTTGAGGGGAAAACATGAATCTTGATGAATAACTAAGTCAGTTTTAAAGATAGAAGCATGAACTTGGTCTCGTTGGATGCGCCTCGAGCTCCCATTTTGTAAATTGGCAACGGGATTTGGCTAGGTGCGAAAACGAAAAAGTTATTCAATATAATGTGATTTTTCTAAATAACTTTGTAACTATCGCAGATTTTTGCACCAAAATTCTACCAACATGTCTTTAACTCCTAATAAATAGAATTACGTGCTGCAATGCTTCATTCGAGGTGAAATGATGAAAAACATATGTCTACATCATAACTATTTGCTAAAGTCGAAGCACGTTCCCAGATTCACAAATGACAACCTTGGTAGCATCTTACCAAAAGAAAGTAATACTCTGCCTTTTAATGCGACTGAGCTATTCGTCCAAGTGCAAAACCTGTCTTGACAGGTTCTGAACCTGTCTGTAACGAGTCTATGCACTAACTGCCCTCTGGGCACTCCACGATACCTTGATTGGGTCGTATGTTTGCTTCTATGAGCCCTGCCTGTCTGCTTAAATTCACGGTTTGAACTCATGACGTGTTCAACCAACCCGGTCCCGATTTTGCCGTCGGCACAATATCAGCCACTTCAAGACGATGTTCTGGCTTTGGAGGAGTCATCTCACATACAAGGATTTTTCATAGAAGCTCAAACTTTTCAACTGAGAAAACTTGTCACACACCGCTCGTGTGCATCCAGGCAGTGTGAAAGCTGCCACGTGCTTAATGACCTAATGATCTCTGCCCAGCACAGGCAGGAGGACGAACTAGTAGCACCTACATCCACGCCGAGGTCTTCATTCCAAAACTTGAGGCTGCGAACACTAAACAGAAATTAATGTCTTACACTAGTCAGAGCCTCGCAGAGATATTCATCCATCCTGATTCTCTCAAGGTATTAATTCTATAACGTTGCATGGATACCATCACTTTTCATAAACCTTAAATTTCTCATCTCATTTGCACACCTTCAATTACGTGTAACTTTGGATTTTATAGTAGAAATCCATATCGCAGCTTAAACTAATTGATTGCATCTACAACAGAGGCTGGTTTTGAGGGAAGTAGTAACCTTGTTGAAACGCTCCTTTTGAAAAAAAAAAAAACATTGTAGAGATTCTATTTTTGGATGACTCTACCGTGTATGCAATAACCTGTGCTGAAAATTATGACAGTAAAGGCTACTTGTCGGATGAGATTCAAGTTCAATCGGCTCTAAGATATTTCTCCATTGAGTGTCCAAATTTCCCTAACCAACAAATAACCTGCCTATTACATCATCTGGGATCATTCTTTTATCATTGTGTTACCTGCAAAGGCTTTGAAGCAAGAAGGAAAACTTGATGCTTCCATGAAAAAATTCCCTCATGATAGGTATGCTTACTTAAACGATTGGCAAGAAAGTATTTCTGCTCATTTAAAAAAAAAATTAAATTTCAGGAAACAAATATTTCCATAAATGTAAATATAGATGGGATTCCTTTATTTGAAGATTCCAGACGTTTTCATGCGTATCCCATTCTATCGCAGTTGTGCATCACGGATGCTTCAAAAATAATTTGTGTATTAGTGTACCTCTCTGAATCTGGAAATGAAAATAAAATGCCTGATATAAACAATTTTCTTGAAGATTTAGTTGAAATTTCTCAAATATTTGTGAAGGATAAGGATTGGCAATTGCTGAAATGCACATTGAAGTTGGTATTCAAGCCTCTGTTTTTGACGCTCCAGCTCGTTGCGAATTGAAAATAATCAAGAAACATAACTCGTATGGAGGCTGTGAACGTTGCATTGAAGAAAGTTTGTATGCTGGTGGTCATGTATTACTCCCTGATATAAGTTCTCCCATAAGAATTGAGGATTTTTAGTACCCGAGTAATGCCAACCCTAGGCAAAGAACCCGAGAACAGCCAGTAACCGCGAAGCCCAGTCAAAACTGCAATTAGATTAGCACTAAAAGGTTAGTAAAATTTTGCCTCTTTCACAACTTCTTACTCGACCGCATATATAAATGTCTAATTAATCCCATCAGTGACGTCCTTATGCCTATTTAAGTCAAGCTTTACTCCTCCTAAAACATTCTGAAGCCCCCTCTCAAAAAAGTTATCCCAATTGAGAGGAGGGCACCAATGCTCACATTGTTGCCCCGAATTTAACATCAGACGAGCCTGATGGCAGGCACTCCAGGCCTTATCCGAACGGTGGCTTGCAAGAGCTCTTCGCGGGTCCACCGCATTCAACGCCTCCAGAATTGATTGTGGTTGAATCTGCTGAGGCACAGCCATGTGCTTCCGAATTTAGTGCGAGTCTACGTGAAAACTTCATTATAATTTACAAATATAACTAATTTTTTACGGATGATCATCGTATGGAAACATTGAAAAAAATTTGTAGAGTTTGATCTCACTTTGAATCAATACATATCTTATAATCAACACTAAGCTCGATTTACAATTTAAAAAATAATTCTTCAGTTTAACGAAGAATCCAAGAAAATATTGCCTGTGTCAATTGCGGATTGTCGAAGCATAGATTTTCAATTAGGTCATCATTTTTGTGAGCCTGCATTAATATCACGGCTGCTTGGATCATGTGTTCATTTATAATATAATCCTGTGGTAATTCGCGTGATGAGGTAGAATAAACTTTAGCTTTCACGTAATGTGTAACGCTGGGCAAACTGAAAACCGGTGCACTGAATTATTATTTATCCTTTTTCTTCCGGTCGGCTTAGCCAACATAATACGGGGCTTCATCGAGCGCTTCTCGTTGAGGATTAATTCGGCATGAAAGGGTGTTTTTTCTTCATTCAAGGAAATTTTTTATAATAATGTCCTGCAATCTAGTTCACGACACATTGTTTTAAAAGCTTTTTATTATACATCATATAGTTTTCTGAGCTTCACTTTCACACAATTGTGACCTATGTAGAACTTTTTGATTATTCATAAGCTTTTTTTCCTATGGAATTTTTTTGTGATCAAGCACTACCTCTACTATAGTAATTACCGTTTCGACGCTAAGGGTGAAATTTCTTTACCTTTGTATTACTGCATCACTCAAAATAAGTAAGCTCCCGATTTCACCTAACCGAAACTAAAAACTATACGTCTTCCTAATAAATGTCACGTCTGCTGTGCATTCATTTATTGTACATTGTTTAATATACGTGAAAGAAGAAAATTAATTTCCTGGATTATAGACACCCATTTCGTTTATATTCTTGTATATGCGACTACAGATCATTGAGCGGTCGAACAGTTCCTACCCGTTACCCTCTACCATACATCCGAGACATTGCATCGTCACTCGCGGTGAGCACAATCTTCAGCAGTAGTAGTTTAATGGTTTGCTAGCGCTTCAGCTATCAAACAATTTTGCACCGGAGGACAAAATATAACATCGTCAGCGAGGCGGAAGGTCTTAATTGTTCAAAATCTCCAATAACACCCACAAGGGGCGGGAGATCTCAGATGTCCACCCCGCTGAAGCTGGCATGAAAGAAGCAGCATTAGCATCTCAATGAGACGAAGTGACAAGGAGGGACAGGTGAAAAGCAACAGAAATTAAGACACTTACCTTCATAATAAGAAATTACGACACACGCCTTTATAATAACTAACCCCACAACTGAGACCTGCAGTCAGACACAGCGAGCTCAGCGGTGGGTCGCTCAGGAACAAACCCACTAGGAGCGCGAAATCCCATAGGACTTCCGATGAACAAAAACACCTATCAGTAGTCTCCCTGAGGGGGCAATCTTCAGCAAAATTGATCTGCTCCGGGCATACAATCCAATTTACGAAGCAGACATCCCGAAGACAGCAATCACAACTCCTTGCTGCCTTTTTTGATTTGTTCGCATGCCTTTCGAACTACGCAAACAAAATGCCGCTCTGACGTTTCAGCGCTTCCAATACCAAGTTTTAACTAATCACCTGCGACGTTTGTAGCAATTGTTACGTTGCAGGATTAGTTATTCTAAATATTACTTACGGAAGTCTTTCACGTCTAAGTTTCATATGCATTGCATTTTTTAATAAAATCTACAGAAGGAAGTGGAGCCACGAATCAATTGGACTAGTGTGTATAACTAGGGATAAAATTGCACAGGAGTGTGGGAATAGTCAACTCACCATCAGCTTTCAAAACCACCAAACAGAAACGCAGGAGCTTGCGTCGTTCGACAACCTTAATCGTCAAAAGCCATATACTGTAATCCCTTATCAGTGAGCAATCATGAACCATTACATTACTTGCTGCACTAAGCACTTTCGTTAAGTGTTAACATTTAGATTGGAGTTATTTCATCAAGCGGCAGTCGCGCGTTTTCAATATGGCGGGAGAGCTCTAGTCACGCTGTTCGACAAGTAATCTATATAATCCACGCTCACGCTGGGGTGAGTTCAAACATTAGAGGTGGAAATGAATGCAGCTAATTTGCAATAAGTCAGAAATATACCAGATTAAGGCAATAATACCAGATCAAAAATATCAATACCAGACACCGTCTCAAAATACCAAATTTGTGAAATCTGGTAAGAAATAATACCAGTTGTCAACGCTGGTCTTATGTTGGACAGGTGCACAGCTCACTGCCGCCGCGCGGAGCAGCTCACTCGGTTGTTAAAGTTTATACGTAGTTAGCTAAATGAACTACCTAGATATTATAGAGCAAAATAGCTAAATTATTATTGATCCAACACTAAGAATGAATCTCAGGTTTAAGAGTATCTCGACAGACAAGGCTGTGAGATTTGTGGTTATTTTTTTTCCCGGAAGTTATTAGAAATCAAGGGCGTTTTCCTGCAAACCCAGCACGATTAGGATTAAGCTAGGGGCCTCCCCTGTGCTTATCCGTACCTTGACGATGTAATGACTATTGATAGGCAGTTTCAACATTCAAACTCAATATTAACACCTTGAAGCCATTTTGAACGATTCGAATAATTCAACACTTCCAACGGCCTGTCCAACACCGTTATTTGAAGTCATGAGTCATGACTGAAAGGGCCATGCAGTAAGACCCACAAACGAGAGAGCGAGTAAAAAAGTACATCGCTAATTGGACAAGCGCTTTACTCATCTAAGTGGGTAATACAGACCTGCTCGTTCGTCTCAGTGCAGCGTAATTTAGCGAACTGTCGCGCTAAAAAAAATGGACACTTCGTCGATATTACGGTGATGATACGCGGGCGCCCGTTCCAATCATCTGGAGATTGATCTATTTCAATGCGCCGGCAGTACGTCTTGGATTTTTGACTACAGGGTAGGTGAAGTACATGCTGAGTTGCGTGCGGCCGGAGTAGGTTAGGACCGTTAGGTACAGGTTAAAATGCGCTCGACAATGGTAGGTTAGATACAAGACAAACTGCAAGCTTCCAAGCAGGAAGCTAGGCTCAATTTGAAATGCGTACGTGGCATTTTCAGTAAAACATGACAGGCTCGAGCTGCTACAAGACAGTGAGATAGGTTAGTGATGTTCATTCTTCACCTTAAGCGCCCCCATACACTAACGCATCTGGCTCGCAAGTCCGGCTAGCTAATTCTGACTAGCGAATCTGATTCGGTGATATTCCACCACACACCTATATACTCTTTTGCTCGCAACGCTCAGTGGTGAAGATTAGTCCGGCGAGGCAAGTTGCAGCTGCTGCCATCGTGGCCATACCGTCTTGTTGAATGAGCTCCGGACAGTGAAAAAGCCACAGAGGAAAAAATCTATGTGACCTATGGCTAGTCAATGGACGAAGATGCAGTCAATATGAATTTGCTAATTCATATTGCATAGATGCAGTCAATATGAATTTGCTAATTTGATAGTCATTTTGCAACGATAAGCAAAATGACTATCAAAATTATTCAAGGATTATTTATTTTCTTAACAAAGTAACGGTCTGCATTGGGAACTTTTTCTCGCGTAATTCGAAAGAGATATTCCCTTGCTTTATCGCTTTGTAATTTATTCGAATATTCTGCGCGACGGACCTTCCACAAGCACGGCTAATTGCGGTACTCTTCAATAAACTTGCTTCGAAAGTCGGCTCGTGAATAGCTTGGAGTCCGCCATGACTGCACACGCCCTACTAGCTTGGCGTCTGCATAGCAACTGAACTCGAGCCGTCACCCCGCCAGCCGAGCCACACAGCAAGCAGAGGGAGCCGTGGCTCAGCTGGGTCGCCAGCCGGAGACCACCACTGCCCAGGATGTAATGGACTATCATAATTCCTGTCCTCCGGAACGTAGCCTTCAACACTTCAAGCCGTCCGTATCTAAGCCGTGGGTCAAACCAGCCCTCGGTCGAACGGCCACTCGTCGAAGGACGATAAATTTTGGAACAGAACTTTGCTATCTGAAACCTAACCTTAGATACGGTGAACGTAAAAGTACGTAATTTAACGATGCCCGGAAGTCATATTCGATCCGCGGCCTGGTGGTGCACGGCAGGTTTTATGCCAGGCCGGAGGTGGACAAAACCTAGTGGTTCACGGCTGATTGGTGGATGTCCGGAGAGATCCAAGGCGTTCGATTCAGGGCTCGTTGGTGCACAAAATCGGTGGTGCACGGCTGCGCTCCCGCTCAGCTCGCCTTTAGTTTGTCCATCTCGGTTCGTTCGGCGCCATACTTGGGGGGTTTTGAGGTTAGCCGAGTTAGACTCGCGAGTCGAACTCCATGGTGTAAGGGGCCCTTTAACGTCAGGGGTGATTCACTAACGTAAAATCGGCAGGCGTCGGGTATCAACAGTAAAATGCGCATAGGTGGTCATACGTTTTAAACATTGGCTAATAAAAATGCTACCCAGCGGGAACTAGTCTGTAGGACTTTTAAACATGCCAACGTCACCTAGACGTTAATTTTAATAGTTGAATTGGATGTCCAGTAAAACCACGAAGGGGCTATATAAAAGTAAGTGGCCCACCTGCACTGTCATTTTTGTAGTCATGGCTGGGTCGATGATGGCGGCAAGCTCGTGGGCGGCGAAGATCCTAAGCGGATTGTTCCTGAAGTCGAGCACTGAGATGAAGCCCGCGTCGCAGATGAGCTTGAGCCTCTTCAGCGCCACCTCGCGCTCCTCCGCCAGCGGGATGTTGTAGCGCGGCTTCATCACCTCATCGCTCATGAAGCTCCTGCAGCGCAAGCCAATGTTTCCTCATCATTACTAATGTTATAAAATGATGAAAATCAATTCACGTTGAAGGTTATGTGACGTCAAATGATATTTTGAGTTCTCATCTTACCTACAGGTTAGAATACAAGCTTGAAGGAATCAAAAGTTGGAAAGTATTCCAGTGCAACGAAATCTCGATAAACGCCGACACAGCATATCAGGATACACTTTAACCATGAAATTATGGAATTGACAGAGTAACAGCAAACGCAGCGTTATGAGTGCGCATCTTCCATTATAAAGAAAATAAAAGATTCACGGATCTTCTCTCTAGTTGAATTTAAATCAACAAGAATCCACAAGGTTCAGGGGTTGTAAGCATGTTACTCTGACACTAAACAACTAATACAAAAGTTTATTCTTGCGAAGCAACTAAATACTTTTGGGTCAAAAAATGTTTCTTTGAATTACAATTTTGTAACAATGTACATATATTAAAACGTTGAATAATGTAATAATTATTCAATCCGAGTGATTTTATCAAGAAGCCATCAACTACACCCTAATTGACCTTTTTCATAATTAATATCGGTAGGTTAGACTTCAAATGGAGCAAGGTGGGTTATTATACGACTTGCTTGTAATATAACACGGGCTAGGAACAGAAGCTGAAAATTGGTCACGACAGTCAAGGAGCGAGTGAGAGATGCGGTTTGTGACGACAGCGTCATGAAGGAAGTGAGAAGTTGCATTTGGTGAGGATCATTCACACTGAATATCGTGAAGATGATTTCAGCTCGTAAGGCACCCGCCGTGCGGCCAAATTGAGCGTACCAAGCACGTAACCGTTGAAGTCACTGGTCGTGCGATCGATGAGCTTGAATTCCATCATGCAAGTGGAGTCATCTGGCTGCTGGCAGAGACGCACCTGAATTTGTTCCTCATGTCGTGGTTGTCGTGGTCCAGCAGCCGCGTCATGGCCGCGACGTCGAACACGGCCGGCGGTAGCGCGGCTCTGATGGCGCATGGGTCCTGCTGCGCCGCAGGGACGGCACTTGAATTGTGTCGCGCGCTGTCAAGAGACACAAAAGACATGGTCAGCTGAGACACAAGAGACATGGTCAGCTAAGGCACAAGAGACATGGTCAAGACACAAGAGACATGGTCAAGACACAAGAGACATGGTCAAGACACGAGAGACATGGTCGTACGATTAAAGAATTGAAGTGTTCTGTACTCCGACTATCGGCATGAACACTAAGAATTCCGATATACAGACATTATTTACAGTGAAATGTTAAATTTACTTACTGCCGTCAGGAATAGTTGCGCACTTTATTTTAGTTAATTAACTCGCAAACTTCAACATTAGTTAGAGTTTGCGAATAAATAACTGAAAGACTGTCTATATTATTTCAACACAATTAACAACCTAAAGTCTAGCAGAAAATACCAGTCACAACCAGTCATATGACCAGCTCCTCCCCAACGAGGTGCTGCAGAAGGCCTTACCTGAGGGCGACGCCCCGCACGGCTCGGGCCAGCAGNTCTATATTATTTCAACACAGTTGACAACCTAGAGTCTGGCAGAAAATACCAGTCACAACCAGTCATATGACCAGCTCCTCCCCAACGAGGTGCTGCATAGGACCTTACCTGAGGGCGGCGCCCCGCACGGCTCGGGCCAGCAGCGCCGCCGATGAGCAGCTCAGCCGTGTGCACTGCATGGCTCCTGGTCACTGCACTGGTCCTTGCCACTGCACTGCTACTTGTCACTCCACTGCTACTTGTCACTGCACTGGTAATTATCACTTGACACTGCACTGCAGTGGCTGGTCCTTGTCACTATTTGTCACTAGCACAATACACGCAGTGCAGAGAGAGCTCCTGCCACTCGGAAGCTAAAGGATGCCACTTCAAGCGAATATTATGCAATGAATATTATTTATGCCTAGAAAATGAGAAAGTTTCAAATCAAATGTCAACCATTTGAGATAAGAGAACAGAATGAGGCTTGTTGTCTACAGATAAACTCGCTTATCTCAGTGGGCGAGTAATGCGTTAGAGTGGTCTTAGCCTGACCAGGCGGACGCTGCCTGTCCAGACCAGGCGGACGCTGCCTGGGCAGACCAGGAGGACGCTGCCTGGCCAGACCAGGAGGACGCTGCCTCGCCAGACCAGGAGGACGCTGCCTGGCCAGACCAGGAGGACGCTGCCTGGCCAGACCAGGAGCACGCTGCCTGGCCAGACCAGGAGGACGCTGCCTGGCCAGACCAGGAGGACGCAGCCTGGCCAGACCCAAGTACACTATCAAACCTAGCATCATCCTATGGACAGGAGGACTTCTATATACCAAGTCCTCTGTCCCCCGCTTGCGGCGGACTCGCACCGCCCGGTAGCGGGACCGGGGACGGTATTTTGCTGCCCCCGTCCCCGGGCAAGACCCGCCGGTCCCCGCTTTGTTTGATTAAGTCAAGCGCAGGACATGGATTGCCTGCAGCCATGTGAATATCACGATCGTGATATTCATCGCCGTACTCTCCGACACAACACATGAGGAGACAGAATACAGAAAGGAGAAAATGAGCAAGGAAATATGACTCATTTGAACTGGCTGTCTACTGCAAAACATCACATTGCCTGTTGGATAATTCGAAGCGTATTAGTCCCCTTGAATGAAGTACGAAAGACATCGAACGGCACTAACTGACGAAGGAAATGTACGCAATTATTGGCAGGTTGGAGTTGTTCCATTTACTGGCCTCGATCACGAGCAGACGAAACACGTCATGTTAGGCACCTAACGTTGGCCTTGTGGGCATTCTTGAGAGAATGCATATAGGCAAATCAATTTATTTTTACGAAATGAATCTGGTTGGTAACAGACTAACAGTACATTAAAACAATATTTTTTGTAACATCCTATGACTTGGTTAAAAATCGCGTGAGTTGGCAGGTTCCTTCATTTAGTCTTCCTCGAAAGAGAGGCGCAGAACATGAGGGCAGCGTGGCACGACTGCGGCCGCAAATGATAAGGATGACGAGTGCACGACGATAAAGACGTGGCTTCCGAAGCGTGCGAACTCAGATAAGGTTAAGCATCAATAATCAAAAATACGAGCGGCAGAGAGGAAGCCTACTTAATAAGCCGAATAGCAAACAGTCACAGCCGCCCGGCCTATAGACTGAGACTAGAGGCCAAATATGAACACATCAATACCACAGCTGCGCTTGGCATCCGGCGTATGAGTGACTTATAATTTATTCAACTGCTAGTTCAATTTCACCAAGAACTAACACAAGAACGTTACAGGCCTGAGACGACCGTCAGAGCAGATGACGGCTCAAAGTAAGGAGTGAAATAACGTCACGCACAAGGAATCTCAACAAATATATTGACAGTTAAGAAAATATATGGTACTCTACCCAGTTCGAAATTCTCGCAGTCATTGCGGCCGTTCGCCGCAGAGACGTTCGCAAACGCGCAAATCTAGGCCGTTGTTGCCGACTTTACCTCGCGTCCAAGCAGTCTAGCGACGATATGGCCTCATCTGCATGCCGGCCTGGTCGCTCGCGGTAGGACAGACTGACTGCGGCAGCAGGCCCTTTCCAGGCCGAGAAGCGCTGCCACAATATTGCGCTGCTGTGGACGTTCCTGCGCTGTTGATCACCCTGGCGTTGCGCTGGGGCGAGCGTTGGCGCAGGCAAGTTCACCCGCGGCTGGCTTCCAGACTGCGGCGATTTCTGACTGGGTAGGAGCTACGTAACTCAGATGTGAACCGCGTCATTTCATAGTCTCTTCAATAAAGTAATGGAATGTATAACACAACACATTGGAAATATCTTACATAAATATTACGTCAATAATGCATGTGAGGCCTAGTACAAATATGAAGTACACGACGCCAGCGTTGCGACGAGAGCGCGGGTCACGCGTAGCAAGCCATGGCACGAGGGAAAGCAGGCGTCAGGGAAGACGGCAGCCGAGGAATATAAATGCTTTACATATAGCAAAAAAATGATTCGTTTGAGATGGCAGAATTTGCTGATTTATACGCGTACTATTAGAGACCAGAGAATTCGTTGATTAAAATTATCAGAGAGTCAGAGAATTCTTCGAATGACGTTGGTAGATCGAAATATTCAGGATCGAAATCCTGATATATGCCTTTCGATCTACCAACGTCATCTGAAGAATTGTCCTACTCTCTGATAATTTAAATTAACTAATTCTCTGGTCACTAATCTCACGCATATATATTATCTACAAATGATTCTTATAGTATTATTATTAATGCGAGGTTTGTTGGGAAGACCGACGTTTCTGCGCAATGATTAAAGAAATGGTTCAGTAATTTTACCGCAATAAGCGTGGTCAGGGATTCTGATAATACTGGAATGATAATAATACATGGAATTCACTGTGCGGAAAACCTGACACAAACAGCAATATAATCTATCACAAATTCACAGATATCCTCATACTTTAAGAACAATTTTCATAATTGCATGAAAAAAAGAACACCGGTAGTTATCACGTGGGCTTTATCAACAGATATGAGTGAATGTGATACAGAACTGCAAGACTCAAATGCAACATCCAGTTAGTAAGCGCGGAAACGTGAGAGCGAGATTAAACGGTGTCATATTAACGCATATTATTGGAAACTAACAGGTTAGCTCGGCGTTGCAATTTATAGAATTTCGTATCAACGAATCCCGTAAATGATAACAAAGCTAATGAATACCTATTGAAAAAAGATCATTTCAAACCAAATCTTACTTAGAACATATAACTCTCAGTCGACTTTTCGTTGTAAACAAAAATAAAATATCTGGCATCTCTCTAATAAAGTATATACTGCTCGTCTTTACTAGTTTAAAAATAAAACATAAATTTTTGTTGCAATCCTTCCACCCACTTTTGCAATGCCCTAATGTTCTTTCACTATATGTAAATTTTCAGGTGCAGGTAATACGCCGACACAATAAGTATCGTGGATAAGCACCTAAGAAACTATTCGTTTAAGGCGCAAGGCTTCAAATAGACAAGCTAACAAAGTTTGATAAATACACATAAGACAAATGAAAGTGTAATGTATTGTGATTTTTGAGAGGATATCACAAGCGCATCAACGGAAGCAAGCAAATCCTAGCAATCCTGGAGGCGAACAAATACGCAGAGAATTTGTCATGAATTACTAACCTCCTCTTAACAATACAAAGTAAATAGTCGGAAAAGCACATTGACGAAAGCCAGTAACATTTACTAAGTGAAATGATATCGCATGAATACAACCTTATCGAAGAGGGAATATACAGAGACACTCGTGTGAAGAGCTGGCATTGCCGGCCAGTGCACATCACCAACCTATATTGCACTGAACTAGGTACATTACATAGCTCTGAGATTCCTTATTGTTAAGTAATTAGCACGTGTTATTGGCACAAGGAGTGATTGGAGCACAATATTATCAGGTCACAGCAGCGGATGAGAGCAACAACAGCCAGAAGAGCCCCCCGGGCAGCGGCCTAGATTATCTAGATTATCCCAGCGGCCCGGCCTCATAAGGATAATCTAGTTAAATCAACAGCAGGGAAGCTCTAATTATACTCATACCGCCTAAACTAAGTCGTCTGCAAAACATCATGATGGCTACTGACTCCTGCGAGCAGTAAAACTGAAGCAATTCTCTCTTACTAAATCACGACAAAAAAGCGTTCGTGAGGAACACTAAAAATGCTAAGCAGTTCACAGTTCTATAAGACGACGCTGAACGACAAATTCGTTCATTCTATTAGTAAATTAAAAAGGCTATGTTAAAACAAAAAAGATGGCCTAAAATTGACTATAATAACGCAGAATACTGACTGCTTTAAGTAGAATAAAATTACTTCGTCTAATTTGAATTCATTGTTACACGACGCGAGCCATTTGGCCTTCACAACTTTAAATTTGAAGTGCAATATCATGAACTACCCAAACCTATAATGAGCCAAGAGAAACGTTCACTGCACGAGAGAAACCTTCACTGCACGAGAGAAACCTTCACTGCACGAGTAAAACCTTCACTGCACGAGTGAAACGTTCACTGCACGAGAGAAACGTTCACTGCACGAGAGAAACGTTCACTGCACGAGAGAAACGTTCACTGCACGAGAGAAACGTTCACTGCGCGAGAGAAACGTTCACTGCACGAGAGAAACGTTCACTGCGCGAGAGAAACGTTCACTGCACGAGAGAAACGTTCACTGCACGAGAGAAACGTTCACTGCGCGAGAGAAACGTTCACTGCGCGAGAGAAACGTTCACTGCGCGAGCAAAACGTTCACTGCACGTGCAAAACGTTCACTGCACGAGCAAAACGTTCATTGCACGAGCAAAACGTTCATTGGGCTCCGGCGTTCAACAAGCTTCAGTCAAACAAAGAAGGCTTGCCCGAGGCAGAGAGGCTGTACGGTGAGGCTACGGCAGCAGAAGCTCCTTCGTCATCGTCACTTTCACTGCTGTCACTGTCAGTGCCGTCACTGCTGCTGCGCTCAGTCGCGTTGGCAACACTTGCATCACAGTCAGCATCGTCAGACAGAGCCTCACTCTTGTTACCAAGCACTGTCAGCATGGGCAGCACCGCTTCGCTGACGTCGTAGCTGACGTCGTGCACGGCACCATGAGGCTGATGAAGCGTCACGGCAGAAGGAACAATTTGCTGCGCTTCATGTAAAGCGTCATCACGAAGCTGAGTTGCGGGCGGATGGTTCGTAGCTGCAGGCTGCGTCTTTAAGAAGACAGCAGCGGTACAATGCGTTACGAGTGCGTCTGGTTTAGGCGCGACGTCTTGAGGGACGCATGACAAAGGAACGACGTCAAGAGAAAGCGCTGATATGTCAGGGAGAAAGCTTTCCTCCACAGGAGAGAGCGAGGCGTGTTGAGAGGCGCCCACACACAATGAAGGCGGACTTACATTGATAGAGGGTGG